CCCCCCCCAGCCGATACCGCAGCTCTTCGTGCGTCTGTGACTTTCCCCGGTCTGTAGAGAACCAGAACGTTTTCCCGTTATCGGATATTCGGAGCGTGGGGGGAGGGCAGAAACACCTCGTCTGCAATCCGTAAAGTGGATTCGGTTAGGAGTTAGTCTGGACCTAAATCTACGAGTCCTTTTTTTTTTTTAATGGTATGTGAAGTGACTTCTACCCAGCAAAGAAACTTGCATTTCGGATTTCATTAGAGAAAAGTTGATGAAAAATGTTTTTGGAATTTCATGCAAGAGTTGAAAAGTTAAGATGTTCTTTTTAATGTACTACAGCAGGTAAAGAGCTCAAAAACTGTGTCATCTATTTCTTCATGATATATCCGTACCGCTGCTTTCTTTTAAGGAGACTATCTGGTGACAGTTGAAGAAAAAAGCAAAGCAACTTTCGTAAGAGTGTATACGAACTGGAGGTGCATGTCTGCAGGGAGTTCTCGTGTTTGTGTTCGGATGATTGGTCACAAGATGGAAGAGTCCTACAGCGAAACCTTAAAAGAACAGATGTCAGTTGTGGAAGTGCCACTTTCAGATCCTCCGCTGTGCATGTCATGTTGTCCTGTTAATGGAGATCTTCTCGTGGGCTGCAAAAATAAACTAGTCATGTTCTGTTTGAAATATCTGGTCATGAACCAGAATCTGACGGTGTTAGACTTTGAACGCTCCTTAATTTTACACATCGACAACCTCATTCCTGTGGAAGTTGCATTTTGTGACAGGCATATAGCCATAACAGCAGAGCTGGATGTTCTGATTCTGAAGCTGGAACTGGTCCAGCAAAGTGCAGACAGCCCAGGGCAGCGTGCATGTGGAGTTAGGACGCTACGAAAGCCTGTGGATGGAGGTAAGCAGAGAAACTTTTTATTTCCAAGAATCTGCTCGCTGTTTTGTGCTATTCTAACGGTAGCTTCCAGCACGCTCATTGCCCTTCAGTAAATGTTTCCAGATCATCTGAGGACTGTCAGCTGAATATTCTAGTGCATGAAAAGTTGTACCGCCTGCATTCGGAGGTAACATTTAAAACAAACATGCCATCATTCTACTGACACTTTCAGCATAGCGCAGCCTCTAGAGACACAGAATTACGTTGCTGTTTTGGGGTGCCACCGTGGGCCAGATCAAAGCAATAGTAGTTCAGTGTGCTATGTTCAGAAAAATTACTCCATCAGTGTCACTGCCAAAGTAACTGTGTCTAAGGGACAAGTGGGAGGCCCAGTTGAAGAAGCATCTCATGAACCTTGGAATGGACCACATATACTGGCTTGCACATTTAAGATTGCTTCTGTGGCGATGCATATGCACTTTTGTAGCTGTTAGTAGGCTCAGAACCTGCATAAACAAGATGTCGGCACATTCTCCTTTTTCAGTCCTTTGTCTTATCCAGGGGCTTGCCTCAGAACCTGTCGTGGTTTAACCCCAGCCGGCAACTAAGCACCGCCCAGCTGCTTGCTCACTAACCCCCGGTGGGATGGGGGAGGGAAGGAGAAGAGTGAAAGTGAGAAAAGTTTTGGGTTGAAATGAAGGCAGTTTAATAGGCAAAGCAATAGCTGCGCATGCAAGCAAAGCAAAAGAAGGAATTCATGTGCTACTTCCTGTCAGCAGGCAGGTGTTCAGCCATCCCCAGGAAAGCAGGGCTCCGTCACACCTAATGGTTACTGGGGAAGACAAATGCTGTCACTCCCAGTGTCCCCTGCTTCCTCTTCTTCCCCCCAGCTTTACATGCTGCGCATGACACCATATGGTCTGGAATATCTCTTGGGTCAGCTGTCCCGGCTGTGTCCGCTCCCAGCTTCTCATGCATCTGGCAGCCCAGGCCAGCATGAGAAGCTAAGAAGTCCTCGACTATGTAGCAACAACTAAAAACACCAGTATGTTATCAACATTATTCTCATACTAAATCCAAAACACAGCACTATACCAGCTACTAGGAAGAAAATTAACTGTATCCCAGCTGAAACCAGGACAGAATCCTAGAAATCCCAGAAATAGGTTTGCTCAGTAGGTTTCATTACTGTGTGTTGCAAGAAATCAATCCATATGTAATCAATTTCTGCCTCTCTAAAAGTATCAGATGAACACCAACAATCCTTAGGAAAATACTTAATTTGTAATTCAAGAAACTTAGAGAAGGATGGTCTTTTATAAATGGAAACTATATCTAGAAAAAATGTAAGGGTAGATAGAATTTTCCCTGTCTGACAAGTCTTAACTGGAATGTTCTTCACTGAGTGAAGACGGATCTTAACTCAGATAATAGCGTCCTGCCCCTAGTTGTTTTTGTTACTAAAAACTAAATAGAAAAGTTCAAATTACTTTCTGAGTGCTGTTAGGATTTGCTTTGCAGAACTTAAGTGAGTTTAAGGTAACACAGCTTTCTGTCATAGCTGCCTTTTGCTTAAAACCTCTCCAGCCAAATGACATTTTCTGATGGCCAGCTGTTTGCAGCACAGGTTGCCTTGGACTTGGCTTATAATGAACAATGTACCTGTGTTCTTTCAGAAATCTTGACTCTTAATATT